TGAGATGGTATCAGAGTCAGCTAAACAACATTCACCTTTTTTCTTTTCCCATTGTGAGGCATTAGAAGCACCTTTTGCTAATGAGGAAATACTTCTTGTGAGTAGATTAAAACCCATGGTCATGACAGCTATCCGATAAGCTAAGTAATACAGCAAATTTTATGATTTGCTAACTCCCCGGACTGAAATCTTTATATACCCACTCACTTGACTCCCATGCCTAACCCAATTCTAGTATTGCCATGTTGTCCTACTTTGGATGGCATACGGGTAGGTTCATCACTCTCCAAAACAGACACTAAAATTCTACTGAAATATTGGTCCTGTATATTTAAAGATAATATTGAACGTTTTGTTTGCATCAACCAATAAGACTTTATAACCAAATGTTCCACATAAATAAGTATCAGATGCCTGTTTTTGAATTTGCAGATGTGTCATGTAAAGTCGTGTATGTAGATTTTTTAAATGTCACAAGGTACCTGACAGGGTTGTCCTCTCTTGCCCCTCTTATTCACTGTAGCCATTAGTCATTCTGTTTCGCTCCATGTAATACCAAAGGTATTGAATGAGTAGATTAGAAGAGCATGCATCTCTATAGGCTGTATTAATCTACCTATCTGACCTCCAACCATCCATTGTTTCTATCATCAACACATTCAGTCCATTATTCCCCCTCTGCCTTATCTCCATTATACATTCAATAATGTCATGATATCACATTCCATGTCTTAGTATTTAGGGCTGGTTCACATCAGAACTGAGTGCGTCTTCACAGCTGCAATGCACTTTGCCGCCAATGAGGGAGGTTTTTTTTTTGTTAAAATTGGAATTTCAGGTGCGTTGAAGTGCGTTTGCATGCGTTTTGTTGTGATCTGATGCAGCTAAAAAATAGGGCAAGCACTATTTCTTCTGACTGCATAGGAAGGGACTGCACTGGTGTGAATAGAGCACCAGAAATCCCAATTGGAAATCATTGTGATGGCATAAGGTGGACATCTGTGACATACAAATATAAGTTTATTTATATTGATAAATTATCAATATCATATTACGTAAAATATGCCACACTTACATCAATATTCTCAACAAATGTCTTAATATGGATAAAATCAATTCATTGTTGAATGTGATATTATGACATTATTGAATGTATGAAAGGGATGAGACTTAGGTGACATAATGGACAATGTGTATACGCACTGATATTTTGATATAGTTAATAAAATGTTCTTTAAAAGACATTGATGATAGTTGAGAGTGTCTAAAAAAGTCCCATAAAAACACTGTACATGTTTTTACTAGAAAATGGGGATGTGGCATCCTTGACTGTTCTCTACATTCACTAGAGTTTGGATAAAGAAAGTTAGTCTATACAATTGTCAATTTTAAGGATGCCTGGTTTCCCACTCACCTTTGCCCAAGTGCCATCTGCCAAGCATCAGTGATCAGTAACCTGCTTCTCCCTCTTTACAAGAAGTGCCTAATACACAATCAAAGTCAGGGGGCAGGTTTATAATACTCCCTCTTGCCTTTTAGCATCACAGGGAGTCAGCACCTGTCTCTGCACATGTGTCAGAAAAGTAAACCTTCCATAGTTAGGATGTTTTTTTTCCCTCTCTATACATGTCTATAACACCATACCTATATTTTCACATCTTTTTATTTGTACTCTTAATTTCTTTCTTTCTATTGCTCATGTTCATTTATTTTCATTTTCATACTTATATTGTGGCTTGCCTGTCCCTTTTACAGATCACCATTACAGTAGGCTGTAGCAGGATTCCACTGTGCATGCACAGAGGAGAAGCCCCCCAATGTAGCAAAACCACAGAGATTTCACCTTACTCTTTCAAATGACACTGTTTGACTTCCCAGTGACCCACTTGCAGAGGACAGCATGTTGAGGGATGGGCCAGTACTATTTACTGGTTGGTATTTTTGTATTCTACCAGCCAGACCAATTCAATTCCTGGAATTTTTTTACTCTACGCTAGACATCCTAGTCCCCAATCATCATGGTGACGTGGTAACTGGGAGTTGATTAGCCAGGTTTCAAGAGGTAGGGAAAGAAGACCAGAGAATGTAGTCTGTAGTTTTCAACAAGGTTGATAGTAAATTGCTTTGCATATCTGGCCTAGACTATTGTGGGGGCTAACTGGTTAAACAGGATCTCCATATGTTTGGCATTGGACTTTAAACACTCCATAATGGGGTTATTTGCACATTAGACTTATCTCCCTCCCATCCGATTAGTATAGATGCCCAACTTTAGATGGACACTTAAGTTAAATGAATACTATTGTAATATGTTGTATTATGCTTCAAATATATGTTAGGTTAGGGAAAGAGTCTAAATCCATTTAGAAAAATTAAAATGCTCTCAAGTTAGGGTTGGAAGACTTTGGTTTGTCAGTACCTATACATAAAAAGGACTTGCAGACTTCTTTCAGAATCTTTACTTGGCTCAAGAAACATTTATACCTGTTAAGAGGTATATTCACGAAGAGTTTAAGCGGTAATTGGCAGAACCACAAGGTTAAGCGATATAATAGTGTAGAAAGAATGCACACTATTGGCTTGAAACTTGTATTTGTATGTCACATGTCATACACAAAATGGTTTGAGCCCAGCCCTTAGTTAGGCAATAAATCATGAAGGGGATGTCCTGAAACATGTAGTGTAGGTCAAAAAAAATAAAGAATTTCACTAGATCCAGCAGTGAAACGTCACAGGTGACAAGCAACATGCCAAAATACCAGTAAATTGCAGTACATTAATGGTCTGTCAGGACAGCTTTAAACTTTGCAATCTGTTCAGAAATTTGCATATAGGTCTAAAGGTGGCCATACACTCTACAACCATGGTTGTAAAGGGATTAAAAAAACGTACGATCTGCCTATCTTGGACAGGCAGATCGCACTCTCGATCATCGCAAGCCCGCCCCCCTGAGGGGCGGGCTTCCGATGACCGCAATGCTGAACGGGCAGTGTGCGCGTGCGCACACCGGCCCGTTCAGCATTTGTCTTCCGCGCACCGTTCTAACCAGCCGAGAATCGTACGATTCCCGGCTGGTTTTCGAACATGCTGGTTCGACAGAAGACATGCGACCGTACAGTAGAAACGGTCGCACGTCTCCGTTCACACTGCTCGATTATCGTACGAAAACCCGATCGCATACGATTATCGTACGATAATCGTGCAGTGTATGGGCACCTTAAAGCTGGCCATACACCTTACAACCATCGCGCGACTTTCAACAGGACTGCATCTTGGAAAGCATGTCACAGAATGAAGTGTAGTTAACCCGATGCACTTGCCTCCCACAGTCCTTTCCATGAAGGCCTGCTTCACACTGAGCGTTTTGTAGCACCTTTTCTGCCCTAAAAAAAAACGGCAGTCTACGGCCGTATCACACTGAAAGCATACGATCTCGTCTAAAAAAAACGCAAAGAAAAATATGCTCCCATATGTTCACATCTGAGCATTTTGTTGCAAAAAGGAAAACGCCTGTCGCTGGAAAAAGTACATGAGCTTTTTTTTGGCATATTGCAGTTCAGTTTGGCCCCATAGACCTAATAGAAAACGCTGTAAAACACGCGTTTGCTCATTCACATCAACGAGCTACAATCGGCTCACAAAAATGGTCAATCTGATTTATGCGCATAAAAACGTGCAAAAAACGCACATAAACGTGCAACAAAAACATGCGTAGAAACGTACAAAAATTCTGTCGCCTAGGGCTGACCCCAGCCTAAAAGGAGTTCTAAAATAACAGCATACTGTATACTATCTTGTTACATCAGCATTGTAATAGGAATTCATTCTACAGTTGTTTTTGACAAGGCAAATCAAAGCCAACTTGAAAAAATCCCTTCCATATGCTGCCTTCCATATGCCCATCACTTTCCTCAACCTCCTGGATTCCCAGTGTGCTTTGCATCTCTTCCCTTGCTGCTTGGCATGATGCAATCTTGATTTCTCAAGACTACATAATCCATCATGCATTGCTTCCAGCAAGCAATGATAATGTTACACTGTTCAGACATTAAATTGTAGTGCATAAGGCAAACTGTGTGAGAGTTGCAACACCAAAAAGTGCGATACCACAGGGCTGAGTGAAATTGTGTCAGTGCATTAAGGAAGTACATAATATGGGCATCTTCAATAAGCAAGTTTATAGAACGTATGGAAATACATATATTTGTTCTTAGTTTTTGACCATAAGTACCTGTTAAGACTCCATGGAGTTATTTTATAGAATAACAAAACGGTGGCTGGGAGTCATGTCGTACAAATGATTTACAGCATGGGGACCAACATTGGTAGGCCTCCCTCCGCACCTTCAATAGTTTGTCATCAGCCAAGAGTTCTGCTTAAAAGTGAGTTACTGTTGTGTCTAACTATTCTTATGTAGATCTACTAGAGAACTTAGAGTATAGCGTATGATTGACAGGAGTATCTGGGCTCAGCTGAGATGTCAGCAGGAAAAAAAACCCCACTATCGAACATAACAAAAATACTAAATGGGACAAGCAAGGAAAAATCGAATCTGAAATAGAAGATACTGTGGTACAAATGACTTCCAGGACTCCGATGGAAAAAAACCCCACAATAAATAAGAATGTTCTCATGGATAATAAAGATTGGGATGAACTGAACAGAACCAGACCTTGCTCTGTGAAGCGTTAACACAGCTCTATTTTGTTTCGGAAGCTGAGCAAGTGAAGCCACAGGGCACAATATTCTGTTCCTCGGTAATACTTTTTATTAGTGTCAGAGCTGTTAAATGGCAGCCATATTATTCCAGTTCAGATTTTCTCTTTTGTTTTATTGGATTGGGTCAATCACAGACTTGAGAGAAATAATGATGTAAAGTCAGGGCTGTGTCTGACATGATTATCAAACAGCCTACGGCACACAGGGGAAAGAACATCTTATGGTCTTGTATGGTTTACAAACAAAAAACAAGAAATAACCTGGAGGGAAGTCGCACTTACCTGATGCAGATCATTTCCAAGGACATACTCCTGGAAGTACCCAGGTGCCGCTGAAGATGCTCTAATAGCCTGCCACAGATTATACTGACATCCTCCCATGTAATGTGATTTAACACCCGGAAAATGGTTGTAATTCCTGAACACAAAAGCTTTTATTCCTCTATTAACGATGGTGCTCACAGCTGCAACCTATAAACACAGAAACACAACATGTATGATGACATTGGAATGTATTTAATATCAGGGATTGGCAAACTTTGCTGGTGAAACTACAAATCTCTTCATGCATCTGACTCTGGGTGTCATGCCTGTGGCTGCAAGTCTTACAATGCCTCATAGGACATGTAGTTCCAAAACAGCTGGGGGGGGGGGGCTGGAGTTTGCCTACCCTGTGCTATACAGAAGCTATATGTGTCTTGTATAGAACAAGTCTGATAGCATGTTTGCCATTTATGTCACAAATTAACTAAATGGTAAAGATGTTGGAGAAACAATTTTGCCAGCAGCTTGTAAATCAATGATGGCTCAAAGTTTGACGAAAATCCCCAAGGAAATATATAGGAAGAGATATTTCTAAAATGGACTGTGCCACTGTCAGTTTACATTATTATGAGGGACTGTAACATTTGTTTAAAGCTGAATTCTAGGCAGATATAAAAGACACAAATTAAAGCAGTTCTGTAATAATTAATATATCATTGCAATAACTAAATTTGCCCTGGTATCAGCCTCTTACAGTCCCTGTACAGCAGAGTCGGAGTTTGAGAGAAACAAGCGGTACAGAGAGCCAATCAGTTTGAGTGCGGTCAAGAAGCATGCTGAAAGAGAAGAGGGCAGAGTGACTGAGGGATGAGTTCATCACTGTGCTTGCTGCTTCTCCTTTCACTATCTACCGTATTTTGCGGTCCATAAGACGCACCGGACCATAGGACGCAGGGAGGTCCGGCGCGCCTTATGGAGCACTCGAGACTGTAGCTTCTGTCACAGCTTCTATGACAGAAGCTGTGACAGAAGCTGCAGTTAGTGACCGCTGAGACAGGTGGCGCTGTGATTACAGCGCCACGGTCTCAGTGATGACACAGAGCAGGCGAAGAACATCTATTCGTCTGCTCTATGGTTATCTCGATCGTCGCCGCTGCTCCGTTTTAATACGAGTGATCTCATTAGATCACTCGTATTAAACGCTTAGTGGCTCCTGCTGCTGAACTCGATCGCCGCCGCTCGGCTTTAATACGAGTGATCTCATTAGATCACTCGTATTAAACGAGCAGTGGCTCCTACTACTCGCCCGGCGCCCGAAACTGCATGTCTCGGGCGTCGGGATTCGCTCCATAAGACGCAGGCACTTCTTCCCCCTCCTTTTTGGGGGAAAAAAGTGCGTCTTATGGAGCGAAAAATACGGTAGTTACAGGCTGGGGTGGGTCCAGGGCGACCTGGGTTTACAGGAAGTGGGTTGAATGATACAAAAATTAATATTGCAGCAAAATCTAGTACTGTTATGGTGTCTTTTAGGGCCCCATGCGTGCACTATTTTTAAAATCGCATCACAACATATTTGCGGTACCGCATGTCGTAGCGTGGCCGATCGCACAGCGGGCGGAAGGTGGATTTGGTGTGTCATTCACATGGATGCCACACAACACACCTCCTGCACTGTAATCGCACGGTCGGTGCATTGTGCGCTACCAAGTGTTAATTGCATGGGACCATGCAATAAACACAAGAAGATGGTGTGAATGGGCCCTCTATGGGCTATTTATTTTGAGCTTGCTATTTTTCTCTGGAGTTGCAGGCTTTTATATATTTATATAGAATTGTATTTTTTTTATCCAACTTGGTTTGGTTATTTTAAATAAAAGATTCGTTATTTTATTACATTGGCTTGGAGTTTTTCAATTCAGACATTTTAAATCCATGAAACTAATTAAAATGTCTAATATAATACATACAATTATTTATAAATTATAAAAAAGGTAAAAAAAATAAGTCAATTTTCAGTTTCAGCCAGACAAATTCTGCTGCAGGAGTGTTGCGGTGCCATTCATTTCAATGGTACCCCAAACATGCCTCCCACCCACAGTGTGATCACCTGCATTGGTACGCACGGTACCACAATGCCCTGGGTTCCAGTGCAGTGTGATTGCAAAAAATTGTGCATGCAGTTTTATTCTGAAGTAAAATTTATTTTTGTAACACTCCATAAAAATCTGATTAAATTGGAAAAATAAGTCGGCTAACTATTCGATTATGAAAATAATCGTTAGCTGCTGCTTTAGAGTTTTTCTCAACAAAAGTGAAGTTACTCTTTAAGGAGACATTAGTGTTTTAGAAAGTATGTTTTCATGTACAGATTGTATTTATGCATGTATATGGGGACAGCCATAATTGTTCCTTTTATATGCAGGCTCTTCTACCTGGTTATGCCTTGCTTTTACCTCAATAGACTCTCAGCAGTCTCTAATAGGACAATGGCACTGAACACTCACAATGCTCCTTGACAACCAAAGCCCACATGATCTTTATTCCTAGGCTTATATACATAAAAGGAGAAGCATTTTTTATTAATAGCAATTTTCTACTAAAATAATAATGTGATTTAAAAATGCTGACTTGTGCCTTTTTGAATCCTTTGAAGGCTAAACTGTAATGATAGGTCAACTTTAAGTAAATAAATAGGTTGTTCACACAGCTGGCCATATGCACTAACAGCGCACAAAGCCTCAAAAAGAGGAATTCACATAACAATCCAGCATTTCCTGTTGGAAAGCTTCACCCAATATGGGATCTTTTGGAACACAGAAGCAAGACTCATCAAGAACTTTTTTTTCCAGTGGTAAACACAGTGTGGCTGACATTCAGGAAAACAGTATGTCTGGTGCCTCCGTCAATCGAATTACTATTTTGCAATGCAACATTTTATAAAGTGGCCTTTGTATGTTCCAGAATCCTAGCAGCATTACATCAGCACTTGATAAAGCAGAGCATAGCAGTGGATAAACTCCCCAGCCCACAGTTGTATTATGCTAACTGAATAATTGATCCACTTAAGGGTAAGTGATGCTTTTCAAAGCAACAAAACAACCTTCTCTCACAAAAAAAGCCTTTTCTGAAGAAACTGTACGCAGAAATATTCATTCTTTGTGTATCCTTATACATTTCTAGAAAGAATAAAATCCTAGACATGATTCTGAACTTGTGTGTTCTGGCAAGAAATGTAACATATTCATTATATTTACCAAGGCAATTTTGTATTCAAGACCTAGCATGAGTAGCTATGCACTAAAGTAATCATGCTCATCAATAAATAGAAGAACCCTGTGCCTTTCATAACTCACCTTACAAAACGGAATATTGACTGAATTTAGCAGACATATCAATTATTCACCAGTATTTAATTGGTTAGTTATTAGCCTACATTAACAAATGAACACATTTTTGATGCCTAGTAATGCTGGCCACACAGTGTTTTTTCTTGCTTAGCACTGTGAGATGAACTAGAAAAAAAGATGGATTCCCCCATCTACACTAATTGGAGAGGATGGATGAATCTCACCTGCTGGCTATTGTATCTTGACAGCCGACACCCGCTGCTGTCAGAATACATAAACAGCTGCTTTATCTGGCCTGGATCCTTTGACAAAAGTCGACTGAACAAAAATCAATGAAGCAGCAACACACTGCTCCAGGTCTTGCTGGCTGAAATAAGTGTATGGCCAGCTTTACCCTCTTTCACTGCCATTGACATATGTCATACGTCAGCAGCAGCGGGCCCCTGTAAACAGACTCCTGCTGGCTGTAGTAAAAAACTGTGGCTAACTCTAAAACTGATGACTGGGCTTTATTTATATAATGTGTGTGTGTGCGCGGTGTGTGCGGTGTGTGTATTTTTCTGTCCAATTTCGCTGTTATTTTAAAATTATTATATTGGCTTGGTGTTCTACAATTCCAATTATTTGAAATCCATGAAACCAATTGGAATTTTTTTAAAAAATATATATAAAAAATGTAAGCATTTTTTGTTTCGGCCTGACAAATTCTGCTGTGGTATGTGCGTTGTGGTGCCATTCATTTCAATGGCACCCCAAACACGCCTCCCGTGTGATTGCCCATACAGGAACGCACGGTACTGCAATGCCATGCATTCCAGTGCAGTGCAATTGCAAAAAAGGTGCATGGAGTTTTATTCTGAAGTAAACTTTATATTTGTAACACTCCATTTGTGTATTTCATTGTAAATAACACACGGTATTTACGTTTTTTAAGCGAATAAAATCGACAAAATAATCGTCCAACTAATCGACTATGAAAATAAATCGTTAGTTGCAGCCCTTTACACATGCCATAATTGAAAGGTTAAAAATTCCCTCTCTGCTTAAAACTGCATCCGCTATTTCTAAAACTGCCAAAAAAAAATAAAAATCAATGCAACATGGCAGCTTGGCGGCATTCTGTACATAGTTGATGTACAGAACACTGCCAGAAATATAATTTCTTACTTCTGCAATTGGCCGGCTGATTTTGACAGTCTGCACTAAGATGCAAGTATAATTTTTGGGAGCCCATCCCTTGGCAATAGTGAAACAACTCCCTAAGGGTTAATTACTAGTAAAGGGATGCAGACACTCTTAGAAATATGTTTTTTGTTCTTTTTAGTTTTAGGCTGAGTTAGACAATTGTGCCTGGAAAGGATCTAATTCTGCTGTACAGTTTCTTTAGCTAACCCATAGTGCTTTGGAAATACTTAAAAAAAAAAAAGGAAAAGGAGGCACAACCATCTAGTGCAATAAAGTACTTTATTGAAAAGAAAGGAATAAAATGGTAGGCAAAAGTAGGCCAAGCGCTTGTACACATGCAAAACTGCTGGCACTGAGGCCAGCGGTGCTGCAGGGATGACAACCCAATCCTCCTCTACCACCTCCAGATGAACTGACAAACCGGGGAAATGCTGGTAAAACTCCCACGTCTATAATTTGTTCCACACTGGAGCTCACTTCCTGTCAGCAGCAGTTTTCCAGCAGGCCTGTGTACACACCGGCTTCCTCTTCCACTTTGTGAGTGGTTAACATAGCAACGCGTCACCTATGATGATTGTAAAACCTACTGCCTGTAAAGCCTTACTTTTGGCATTTTTATTGCCATACTTTTATTTTAGATCTAGAACTATCCTGATCTTGAAGGGTTATTACCTACAGAGGGTCATATACTTTTGTATTCTTTTAGGAGCTCCTAAACTTTTATTGTGGTACCTTTGATTTTGGCTTTAAGTGATTCTGTGCCCCAACCAGTGTTTATTGTATATATCTCATATCTTTTTAAAGCTAATCTTGTTCCTTGTGTGATTCATATTTATGCATTGCCTTTAAACCCCTCCCCCCAAAGAAACCGTTCTAATGTAAATGTTTTTAAAATGTCTAATGTGTGGTTAAACCCTCAAAACATATTTTCACGATAGAAGTTGCCCTTGCAAAAGGTATAAAAAGCTCCAACTTAGTGCTGGTTTAGGCTTGAGAAAAGAGGAACCACCTCCGAAATGCATTACCTTGGTAACCACTCACACAGACAGAGGAAGTCGGTGTGTACACAGCCCTTCTGGAAAACGGCTGTTGACAGGAAATGAGCTCCAGCGTGGAACCTTACCATGCTACAGATGCAGAAGTTTGCCAGCCTTTCCTCAGTCTGATAGTTCATCTGGAGGTGATAGAGGTGGATTGGGCTGTTATCCCTGCAGCACTGCTGGCCCCGATGTTCGCAAACTTGCACCGTGTGTGGCCATATACAAGAGCTTTACCTGCTACATTCATTTCTCACTTTATTCATTGCTTTTTAATAAAGTGTTTTATTACGCTAGATTCTTGCATCTCTTTTCCCTTTTATCTTTCAAAGTTCAAAAGCATCCCTTGTGCATTTGAGGAGAGTTGCAAATGGATCTGGACTCAGGGAGCAGGCACTCATTTTTTTTCTAACCACGACTACACCCTGCCTGTTAAAGGACCTATGAAGCGTGGATCTGATTCCTTTTTTTAGCTGCCTTTGGCAATACTTTAGCAAGTCAAATATTTGTTCTCTGCGAAACAAGGAGTGTATACATATTGTAATAAACAGATATTATCTGTTTATTCTGTAAAAATATAATAGTTTAAAAGGTCAATTACATTTTTTAAATTAATTATGGGTTTTAAAATTGATGTTTTATGTTTGCTTTTGCTATCCTTTTTACTATCCCTACTCAAAATGAATGGGTATCCATCCAAAGTGCGTGTGTTACTGAACCAGAAGAGTGTAAACCTGGCCTAAGGGTTAGCACATTCATTTACATTCAGCATGCATATTATCAGGGTAAATTCTATAGGATTATGAAATGGAGTTTGAGCATCAATATTCATGTGTATAATATGAGACATACATTAGATAGCAGTGAACTTGGGATTCATAGATTGATACAATATCAAAATAACAACATCATAACCTGTGCATCAGTTCTATGCAGAGGATTATCAATGGTCTGTAGGACTGCAACCAACGAATCGATAATAATCCATAACGCAAAAAGTTGTCAACTATTCTGGATTATCGATTAGTTGGATGGATCCCCTAGCTCTCTCCTCCATGCTGGAAGGAGGGCACAGCAAGTAGTGGGTGGGTGCAATAGCTAGCCTGCTATTGCAATTTGAAATGGCCCTAGCAGGCTGGCTATTGCACCAGCCTACTACCTGCTGTATTTACATTCAGCTGCCATCTGTGGATTCCTGCCACTGGCAGCTATCATTCCCTGGCAGAAACTATTTAAGTGCCATGTGCTTACAATACAACTATTAAAAATAAATATATATTATAAGAATTTGGGGAAAAAGTCCTTTTTAGTTTCAGCCCCACAAATCCTGCTGCGGGAGGTGCGTTGCAGTGCTATTAATTTCAATGGCACCCCAAACACGCCTAACACCCACCCACCCACATTGGGATTGCCTGCACTGGAACGCACGGTACCGCAATGCTGTGCGTTCCAGTGCAGTGCGATTGCAAAAAATTGTGCAAGCAGTTTTATTCTGAAGTAAACTGTATGTTTGTAACACTCCATTTGTGCATTTTATTTTAAAATAAGGATGGTATTTATTTACATTTTGTTTTAATCTGATTAATCGGTTAATTGAAAAAAAAAAAAAAGAAAAAAAATCAGCCAACTAATTGATTATGAACATAATCATTAGTTGAAGCCCTAGTGGTCTGTACAACTCGTGGGGGCATTGCTAGGGATTTTTTGCTGTAGGATACTATTTGTCAGATAAGGACCCTCTATAGAATTATTTAGTCTATAAATTCTATGACCTAATTTTTTAAAGAGCAAGAAATCAGAACTATCTGCGATATTCAAAGCAACCAATTACATTGTCTTTAATTTCCCATGCTGCACTGGAGATATGAGAAGGAGAATACCGTTGCTGTGACAACACAAGACACTGTGATAAATCGGGCTGTGGCATCAAAGGTGATGAACCTCTTTAATCAAAACTTTCCACCAACAGTTGCACACACATATTTTTTTAGCACAGAATGAAATCAAATAATGTTTTAAATTATAGCAGAACAAAAAGCTATGTTCTATTTTTCAGACATGAGTATTTACAATACAAAATAAAACAGGAACAACGTACGGATGAACACATCAATTGAACTGAGATGAAAACATCGGCAACATAAAATACATACCTTGGGACACTGAGGATTTCTTGCTGTTTCAATCATTAGGTCTGAACCCATTCTTTCCCTTTCAAAGTAAGATGAAAACATATATATCATTTAAAATGTATAAAACAATGTTGACTTAGGAACAATACATTAAGTTGAGAAAGTCTGGAAACACAGCCTTAATAGTCAACTTGAAATTAACCAATAATACAACCCTTAGGCTTAACCTAACCCTTAATATAAGCATCTTATAAAATCTGAAGCAGCTAAACCTAAATCTGCTGAAGCCATGATCTTGGTATAACTGTTTAGATTTAGCCATTTAAATGCAAGCATTCAGGCGGCTATAGACCCGCCTGATCACTTGTATGGTGCGTAAGAGTGTGCGGCCCCCCTCAGCTGCCACTGCCGGCTATCCCTGGCTCCACTGTCCCCCGTGCAGGCTCGGGACTGGCATGGCGGGCCTGTTCACTTTGAGCGCATGCACTGAATGCGGAACTGATGTGTATTACATTGCTTCCGGTTTTATGCTGTCATTACTCCAGCTGCTGTAGAAAACAACGATTGCGACACACGTTACATATCACCACGAACATCGGAGCGCGAGTGATAATTCTAGGGCAATCAATCACTTTTAACACCAAACTGATGAGTGGTAAAAGCCTTTAAGGTGTCGCCTATGGGCAATTTTGAGTATGGTAGTTTTTTTCCAATTTAACGGGCGCACGCAATTTTAAGGCTTGACATGTTTACTATCTATTTACCCGGCGTGACCCTGTGTGTTACCAAAAAAAATGGTATTATATTCTGTTTCTGTGCACTGAAATACATTTTAGTGTATTGTACCCTAAAAATACTGGTTTAATAAACATTTGCGCAAATAACGTGCAATATAAAATATTTTGACTAGCATTTTATATACTACAGGGCCTCTGCTTTCAGAAAATATATAATTGTTTGGGGGGTTTTAAGCTGTTTTCTAGCCAAAAATTCGGATTTTATCATGTGTGCAAAAATTTTACAAATTGCTGTGGACGGCAAATGGTTAAACTAACCCATAACCCCTTAAATTGACCTGAACCCTAAACCTAATCTGAAAATCTATGAAATTAACCTTAGCCTAAGCCTTAAAGTGAGTGCAACATATGAGCATAATCTAACATGATTATGATAAAGATTACTTAGTGAGCATAATACAACCAATGTAACATAGAAACTACATTTGCGTCAAAAGCTTTGGTTGGAAATTTCAAGTACCAGAACAATTGATCTCTGATTATTCCTTTTATACAAATATACTATGATATACGTGTTGTTCCATAGGCCAGTGTCCCAGTAAAGGGAAATATAGCTCTTCAAAAAGGTATTTAAAAAAGCATTAGAAAAAAAGGTAAACAAACAATCTTTCACTACAATCTAGTGAAGTAGAATGTAGGAGAAGCTCTGGTAAACTTCTGGTAGCGAGGACTTTCAGTGTTCACTCATCTCCTATGCTGGCTACTAAGGAGATACTCTTTAATATGTACTTCTCGGGTATTAATGTTCCTTTGTTTTCCTACTCCTATGACTCAATTTTATATGTGTGTCACAACAGATCATTCCATATAATCCTCCCACCAGGTGCCAGGTCATGAGATGACTCATGCGCTGTGCCCACAGTGATAGCCTACAGTGAATTTATATCTTCATGGACTGTGGGGCTTTTCAACAATAGCTGTTCACTGTACTGACTGGTCAAGCAATAAATGTATATTTGTTTAGTTCACTAATTACGTTGAAATAAAGTTTCAATCATTAAAATTGTTTAAATACTAGTGCAATGCTACAGTATATTCATTAGTATATTGCATTACCCAATACAATCGAAGTAATGTACACAACTGACAAAATATTAAAACCACACAAGTTCCTTTACACATGATGTATTTGCATGGCTCCCTTTGATCAAGGATCCAAAAAATAGGAGATTTATTCCTCATTTTAGGATAGTGGGCAGAGCTGTGCAAATCATTTATTTATGTCTCTGTGGCCAAATGTACATCAAGACCCCCTGGTTTATAGTACAGATGCAGCCTAATCTTAAAGAACCATTTATTCTAAACTGTATACACTCTTTTTTTTTTGACCCGCAATGGGTGCACCAAAACAAACACCAAAGTGAACCAAAAAAATGCATGTGAACACACACAAAACAAAAAGGTGCAGACTAGAGCTGCAGCTAACGATTATTTTCAAAATCGATTAGTTAGCCGATTTCTTGAGGGTAGCCCCGAAGATCCACACCCTTGATCCTTGCAGAGTAAAAAAAACATACAGGCGAATAATTAGAATATCGCGCAAAAGTTCATTTATTTCACTAATGCAACTTAAAAGGTGAAACTAATATATGAGATAGACTGATTACATGCAAAGCAAGATAATTCAAGCCTTGATTTGTCATAATGTGAAGTGCGCAGATGGGAGAAGAAAAATAAATAAGGCTAGTTGGCCATCATCAGTGCAATAGGGGGATACCATGGCTTCTATGGAGTAGGGCTTGTGGACCGACACAACCACACAAAAGACCGGTTATGGTGAGATGAGCTAAAAAGGTAGCAAAGTGAAATGAATCTGTGTTTACTTCAAACATTGAATTGTGTGCAGAGATAGCTCCCACATAACAAACAGTGTCCAGAATTGACCACTTTACTAACATCTAAGATTTTACAGCTCTTCTGGATGTACTGGGGAAGCTACATTAATGAAATAGGACTGCAGGGTCAGCATTAGTCCACTCTGTATCTAGCTTTTTTATTTTTAACACAATGAAATGCTAAGTAAAGCTAATGCTTCGTGCCTGTCTGTGATGAGTCAACTGACTCAAAGACCCTTTTCCCCTTATGTGCAAGTCCTGAGGTAAGTGATCTACATACTTACTTCAGCATTTTTTCCCATATTTCGCTGTCATAATAGGCATGGCTCCAGCCCATCTTCACCGTTCCCAGAATAACGTTCTGTTTGAAGACGTCATTTCCCAGTTTACGGTACATTTCTTCGCACTCATCCAGTGGGATGTGAAATAGACCCAACATAAAGGCCAGTATAGCTCCTAGGAAGAAAGAAACTACTGTCAAAACATGCCTGATAAATATGTATGCTTCATCTAAAGAAATATCACTTACATTCAAATTCACCCAAGCTACAGCACAGACATACAACCACCCCAGATAATCTGCCTTTTAAGCAAAAGCTTTCTTTATGTACACAAATGCTGCTCTGCCCATTGCATGCTACACCGTAGCTAAGTACATTATATTCCAGACGCCACCAGTGACTCTCTTCTAGGCATTCTCAAAGCTAAAGTAATCATTATAGTATAGAGATTAGAGAGAGGCACATGAGATTAATGAATTAAATCCCATGAAAAGGGATTTTGGCTATCACAATATACATTAAATAGGGTCCTTCTGCAAAATACTCATGAGAATACATTTCAGGGCTTTTTTCACACTACAGCCGCATACATAAAGTATATAACTATTACTAAAACAGGTTTGTAGGTGGTTAGCAATATTTTGGTCATTATATTTTTTTGCAAATTTAATGAACAGCTCACTGTTAATAAACTGCAAATGTGTTTTTCAACATTTCATAATATTGTTATGATTACCTCCAAAGGGCACGTCAAAAGCATTGGTCATACTCTTGTACAAAATCCTTTAACTAAATCCAGTATATACCCGGGCTGAGAAGTATTCTACACATATGTACTACTACTGCCATCTAGCGGGTGAGTCTTAGAAGTCACCCAGGCCCAGTAGAGAACGCATGTTTCAGCCTCCTACTAAATCGGGAAGACTTTTAGTGGTACATTTATATTTCAATAAAGCATATCTATTATTTATCAAAGGCCTCCAGCCCTGTAAAAATGAAGGAGCTTTTCTTTTTTTTTTTTTAATGACGAGCTGTGCATATAAGCCATTAATGTTCTATCTATTTCCTCTGTGAGCAGTAGATGCTCTTACGTTTACTTCTGTGCTTGATGTGCTGTGCGATGAGAGGAGAAGAGTGACCAGTGTTTATCTTTTAGAGCAGGGTAGTGAGTTAAAATACATGGCGGTCCGGTGAGTATAAATATTCGAGCAGCAGTCCGAATCGCAGCCTGGACAGAATAGTCACTCAGTCCGTGTCCGTAAAGTGGTCCGCCATTTATGTTGCATTCACACCAGCAGCTGCACTACAAACAAACAGCTGCTGGTATATGCTCCCAGGCACAATGCTGATGCGCCGATCTCGGCACATCACACTTTTCTTTTTTCTTCCCCCAGTTTAAATACACTTGCATGCCTTACATGCACGTGGTCATTCAAATCAGAGGGCTGGGGTGGCAGGGTTGGTTTTAAATGTAATACTTTTTTTTACTCATCACCTCTTTTTTATTTTATTTATTAAATCACCTTTATTATTTTATATTTTTTTATTTTATTACTTTAATTTTTTTTTTAATCATCTTTTTTTTTACTGAACGTTTGCCATCACAGAGCAAGTCTAAAAAGCACCTATGTGACAGAATTTGGAGGGGACAGGTTCTCTTTGTGGAAACATCAGGGGTCTATAAGGCCTGGTTCACACTGAGTGTTTTGTAGTGCTTTTTCTGCCCCCCAATAAATCCCATTCATTTCTATGGCCCAGTTCACATCTGAGTGTTTTGTCGCAATAAGGAAAACGCCTGTCGCTGCAAAAGGTACACAAGTTTTTTTTGTTGCATATTACAGCTCATTTTGGCGCCACTCAATAGGAAACGCTTGAAAATGCGCGTTTGCTGTGTTTTTGCACGCGTTTGCTCATTCATGTGTATGAGCTATAATCTGCTCACAAAAAAAAAAAAATCTGATTTATGCGCATAAAACGTGCAAAAAGCGTGCAACAAAAACGTGTGTAGAAACAAGCAAAAACGCTGCCGCCTAGGTGTGAACCCAGCCTTAGGGTCTGTACCTCCAAATGATGAATGTGCTAAAGGGGTATGGTCTTCACCCGGCATTTTAGCTGGCACCTGGCAGTTCAGATGCAGGAAGCTTCATTCTTCAGTGATCACAAAGCAAATCAGGGAACAGATGTTCCCCGGCCTGCTCTCGCTCTCCATCTTGATACTGTGTGCAGTGGTCCCAGACCCCCAGAGAAGCGAGGGACCCAAAAACCATGGCTGGGGGTGCGGCACAACAGCCACTAGTACAAGTGATCTGGGTGGCTCTACAGCTGCCCAGATCACTTGGAGTTGAGGAGCTGGCCCTGCCTGACATGATTGGTTGCTAGGAAGCCAGTGGTCCGAGCAACCAATGACTGAAGCAGAGGGAGGGCCTGCGTTGGGTTATGGCTGGCAGTGGAAACGCTGGCCCCAAAGGCAGGTGTATCCACTGTTAGCAGCCATAATCCAGTGCAGGTTGTCTATCACGGTCCAGACAGAACCGTCACTTGGTCTGTGTCCGGACCGCAGTCCGCCATTTAGAATGTCACATGAAACACATGTTGCCACCGTTTCACGGTCTCGCAGGGTCCCTTTCTTAAGGCAATACAATGAGGAATAAACACACGTTCTTCTGTGATCTTTAAATGAGTGATTCTTCTTCTGTCATCATACTTCTGTGTACCAGACACCAATATAAAGGATGTGCTTGTGATTATTATTGCTTCATTGCTCATGTAAGAGAGGAGCAATGACATTATTATTGTACTATAGCAGTGGTAGGCAAACTTAGCACTTCCAACTGCGTGAAAACTATAAAGCCCATCATACCTCCAGGAGTCATGTCTATGGCTGTCAGAGTTTTGCAATCCCTCATGGGACTTATAGTTCCACAACAGCTTGAGGGATGAGGTTGCCTGCCCCTGTACTATGGGATCAGCGCTTTTTTTTCTGGGAATGAAGTTTCATATTTATCCGTATCCTGTACTATTTATATTTAACCTCCCTGGCGGTAATCCCGAGCGTAACTCAGGGTTAATTTTCTCTGCCAGGAGCGGTAACCCCGAGTCACGCTCGGGGTAACATTGCAGAGTTGTCAGAGGAGTCTCCTTACCTTCTCCTGGCGATCCAGCGATGTCCTCCGCTAAAGTGACACACACATAAAAGAGGTGATACATTGTACACGCATCCTGCGCCTAAACTAAGAAAAATCTGGGAGGTATGCCAAATTATTGTGATCAATTTCCAGCGGACCTACTAAAGGGTAAGATGATGGCAATGCGATGGCGAGACAAGAAGGACGTGTGTCTTATGAGTACTGTGCACAATACCTCCACTGCCATGGTCCACACAAAAGGTGGGAAAGATGTGCTGAAGCCGCAAGTCGTGATAGACTATAATAACACCATGGGAGGTGTCGACAGAGCCGATCAGGCAATGACATTTTATCCGGCTATGCGCAAACAGCAAAAAAAAAATATTATAAGAAGATCTTCAGGCATCTTCTGGAACAATGCCTTTGGAATGCATATATCCTGCACAGAGCAAAGATTGACAAGCCTCTTGTTCATTCTGAGTTTATCTGGAAGGTGGCTGAGCGGATTTTTCTCAACCACCAGACGCCATCAGTAGCTGGGAACAGACCTGGATGTCGTGCTGTTGACGTTGTCAAGCCAGAACGCCTGACTGGTCGTCACTTTATGGACTACATCCCGCCAACCGCAAAAAAGGCAGCACCTACCAGGATGTGCGTAGTTTGCTGCTCAAAGAGAGATGGCAATGGAAAGAAAGTCCGAAAAGAAACCAGGTTCCATTGTCCTGATTGTGACGTTGGACTTTGTGCAGTCCCAGGTTTCAAAATTTATCACACTCAGGATGTTTATTGAATTTTCTTTGTTTGACAAATTTCATTTTTTTATTACATTAATTAATAAAATTATATTATTTATTAGATTATAATTCATGATTTTGTGTTTCAAACTTTATCACTTGTGGGATGTCTACTAGACTCTTGCTTGGTCAGGTTTAAGTAAGTAATTACTAAGAATTGCAGGCCTACAATAGATAACACCAAATTTCCATGCAAAAAATTGTAATGCTTTTGGTACAAAATTCCTGACATAATCATACCGCCAGGGAGGTTAAAAACTCATAACAGAATGACACTATATGGCTTTTTGGATTAAAAATACCGCTTAGTGGCACGTTTATTTCCATGCAAATATACTAGTTACTCCACACTGCCCTCATTTGGAATGAAATCCCTCTTTCCTCCTCAGGTTGTCCTTGTTCTGATGTATTGAACTTGGGATACACACACTAGAACACTCCATTGGTGGGAACTTTGTGCGATTCAAAACATCATCGGTGGATTTTCACTTTTTCTGAGCACATTATTTTGGGACACTTGAAATTATGTTATTATGGACTTTAGTTGTATAAAATAGTGTCAAAAAATTCTGGTCACTGGAGATGAGCGAATTCATCCATCAATTGGGCAAATCTGTTTCCCTATCCATCGTTTTTTGCTTGTCCTGAATATACAGACAGATTCAGCTTTTTCACTAAGAAACATGTATAAAACCCATCCTGAAAAAGCAGAAATGACTTCTGGATAAATGCTAGAAGCCCAGAAGCTGAAAAAACATTGATCACCAAGCTGGTATTTAGGTTAATTTAAAGGAAAGTATTCATTTTCCCATTTTTTTTTCTTTTTGTACATAACGTGTAAAATAGCTGGATGTAAGTTGTACAGATACATGTACAAAGGGCAGCTATATTTGCTCATTACACAAGCAGGCTCTGCTTCCCGCTTTGCAGTATTACATAATAAATCTACTTTACTACTTCCACCTACAAAACAAATTCTGTGAGTTGGCTGAATGAAAGTGGACCCAAGTGCAAAAAGTAAAGAATATTTAGTAGTATTCAATGTGGCAGCAGTGCCCTGATATAGAAAAATATTTAGATCTATACTTGTCAGCTGCAACAGGGGTAACAATATTTGCATACACAGTATTTTAAAAAAAAGCAATTGTCTAGATTTCTGAAGGAAACGCTCCTTAAAAAAGTCACAAAGAAAGACAGCGTTCTTCATACCGCTATCTCTACTAGACAAATGGTTTGGGGAATTATATGGCGGTTTTATCAATTTTTCCTATTTTTTATGGCCAAACAAAACATTTACAAATCATTTTGCTTTTTTTTAAATCAGGTAAATATGAAATATTGAATTGCAGTACTAAGTATAGTATTCTATCCAGCCAGCAAGGGGCACTTTAGCTTTAGACTCCTTTTCATTTCTCTATTTACAACCCCTTTCTAAAGTCTTTTGTTTTCAGAGGTTAGTAGCTGTTGCTAACATTTTTAAAATTCCTCGCTCATACCTGTGAGATTTATTTCGCATTAGATAACCCACGACAAGAGGATTACATTTATTTTCTAATGGGCCTATTCACACCTGTGGTTTGTGCTGCCGTGCATCTGGGAAAAATAGTACAGGTGGTTGTTTAGTGCATTTTTGGCTCAATAGACTTAAATGGCGGCATAGGAAAAACGCATTAAAAACCATGCATCAAGAAAGCTCCAAAAACAAAGCAAAATGCAGATAAAACAGAATGACCTTTACGGACAACTTTTTAATCACACAGAACAGAGGCTGCTTCTGATGTGTTGTCCTTTTAGCTAATCCATGGTGCTCTTTGTCGTGCATTTAGCCTCCTGTGCACAATCCCATCTCTCCTTCATTCACATGCTTAGCCCCACCCTCCTGTGCACAATCCCATCTCTCCTTCATTCACATGCTTAGCCCCACCCTCCTGTGCACAATCCCATCTCTTCTTCATTCACATGCTTAGCCCCACCCTCCTGTGCACAATCCCATCTCTTCTTCATTCACATGCTTAGCCCCACCCCTCCTGTGCACAATCCCCTCTCTCCTTAATTCACACACTCAGACCCACGCTTCTTGTGCACAATCCCCTCTGTCCTTTATTCCCATGCTTAGCCTTGCATCTCCTGTGTACAATCCCCTCTCTCCTTCATTTCAATGCTTAGCCTTGCACCTCCTGTGCACCATTCCCCCACCCCTCCTGTGCACAATCCCCTCTGTCCTTCATTCACATGCTTAGCCCCACTCCTTCTGTACACAATCCCTTTTCTCCTTCATTCACACACTTAGCCCTGCTCCTCCTAACTCGTATATCGTTTCTAAACAGCTTCTGGCTCACAGATTTTGAAGGTATCACTCAAATGGAGTATGGTAGAATGGAGGGGTAGGCAATCTTTTAAACAATATGACTTTGCACATTTTGTTCTGCATTGTTAGTTGGTGTAATTGCAGTAGGGGTTTTGTTTTTAACTGTCAAAAGGTGGACTAACCATGTGTAAAGCATTTATTCTAGCTACCATTATACATCAGTATCAAGATGTATAAAAAAACAACTACAATAAAACTGACTCAAAATTGAAAAAAGTAAATAGTGGTAGTATGTTCAACCATACTGGATAACAGATCGTATGGTCCTATTCCTGTACACTATATGGCTTCAGTTCACATATATCTTGGGATGTCTTGTAACAGCATGTTTCAGACAACAGACTTTCAATGGGACAGAGGACAGGACTCTGTGTCATGTTGCATGACCCAACGTCTTGTGAAATTTAGGTCAGAGAGAGATGCACTGATATTCTGTTGTAGAATATTCTGATTAAACTCCAGTAACTGCAAGCCATCCAGGCTCAGAGGCAGCAAAGTAGCACCACACAGTTAGTATAACATCTTGGTTTTGTGCTACCCTGCTCATGTATTGGCTAGCCACTAGGGGGTTGAAGAGTAGAGAAATGCAACTCCCCTAAACAGAATGTTAAAGCTCAACTCCAAAGAAATTAACAGTTTAACACTGCATTGGGGTTGTACTTGCATGGCAGGGGGCAAGTGCTTGTTTAAGCTTAGGGAACAGAAATACTGTTTTACTTACCTGATCCCCGCTCCCTCATCGTTCGGCGCTCTCCTTTGCTCCCCTCTGCCCTAGCTGTCCACTGTGCCTTGGCATCCTCATGTCTAATGCAGGTCTACGGAACCTACATTTGACGTGAAGACGTCAGCGCCTTAAGACTACCGGAGGGAAGGGAAGTAAAGGCTGTGGGGACTGGTCTAGCAGCCCAGAGGGAATCAGCTGGAGCGGAGATAAGGTAATTAGACATTTCTGTGAATGTTCTATGATTGTGTAACTATAAATGTATGTTTAGTTTTAGCTGCCATTAAAATAAATTTAAAATATACCCGTCATGAGACACGTAGGATGCATCTTGCTGATCTTTCCTGCTAATGCCTTGGATGTCATACTGACTATCTTGCTTCAGTACTTCAGGAAGTCTGTAGATATGACTTTTGTGACATTTGTTCTGCCTACATGTTTCAGATACTGAAGCTGATGCATCATCATACCAGTTAGGCAACTAGTATTGCCAGAAAATAAATGCCCCTGATTTCTCATGACAAGTTTACTTACCAAAAGTACTAGACAAACTATAAAACAATTCAACTGAAATGTTGACATATTAGACACATTCAAAGTCTGCTTGTTGCCATGCAGGGCCGGTGGACTGTTACTTCTGTGTGTCAGTCCTATCTATAAGTGAATATTGGAATACAGATATTACTGTACATATGACAAAAAACATAAGAGAAAAATGAGCCATTACCTGTACTGACACCACAAATGTAATCAAAGAGAAGATGAATCGGTTTCCCTGTAAGTTCTTCTAACTTGCGGAGAGTTTGTAGAGCTACTATTCCTCTGCAGAGATAAAAAATAAAGTAAAAAGGTGTCAAAGAACTTAAGCTGCAAATAAAAAAAATCATATCTACAGAACTATTTACTATGTGATATTTCAAGTAAAGCTTTAACCAACCTGGCTGATTCAAACTCAGCGTATCCACCAACAGGGGTCGCACTGCCCAAGTGAGCTAGCTAGGGAATTTAAAGTGTATGTCTACCCAAATCTTTATTTTCAATTTTGGATAGAGTAGAAAAGGATTTCAACCCCCTGTAGTCCATATATGTTAATCTTATGTTGATACCAAGTATTTGGATGAGTACTCGTACTCCCCCTAATGCTCCCGATACTGGAACTTCCGGAAATCAGGAAGCCAGGCGGCGAGTCATTACACACCGACCAGTTTCCTGATTGGCCAGGAAGCCTGCTCCATGCTCCCTTGTCACCAGGGAGCATTGAGATGGCTTCCT